TTCTACGTACTCAGTTGACGGTTCGTCGCATGATCTAGGTCTTTTCATTCCTTGTCCTTGCATTACTAAATCATCTCTTGGTCGTGGATCATTTTCTGGTCCTAGATAATCTTTCCTCATCAAATTTCGACACTTATTGTCGAATATGTGAAAGAATAAGTGTATTGCAGGCATAAAATGAAAGTCATGTTCTTGTTCACATACAGTGCAACGTCCTTTAAAATCATCATTATCATCTTTGATTTCTTTCACATATTTGCATTGCCATGTGTAATGACGAATGTAATTATTATCATTATCATGTAGATGCTTTCTCCAGTCGTTCGTCATCATTGGAAACTTCTTGCTACATATAACACATTGTACTTCCTGTTTCCATTTTAATCTCCTAAAATTTATCCAATATGCATTTCTGCAATAAGTCACAAGTCTTTGACTTTCCATATTGAAAAGATAAAGTTCTTTAATATATATATGTTGATCAAAGCTTGCTGTGTCGATGCTATTAAAAATGTCAAAACACTTTTTACATTCTGCTTGAAATCTCGGTTTTAATTGATATTTTCTTTTCACCCAATTTATAGCAGTTGTGCGATCTTTCCAATCGTTCATGCCCCAATGGCCACGTTCACATATTTTTAAGAACAACTCCAGTCTACTTAAATTAACGGCACCTTTTAAAACTGCTAATTCTTTAATAAATGGTAATCTTTCCCCCCATTTATCTGAATGAGCCCTTTTAAAATGCAAGAATATAGTTTCTTCAAACGCTATAAATTCTTTGTATTCACAAAGAATACAATTTGCTGAATGAACATAAGCAGAAACAGTCAGTCTAAAATATTTGAACACCCAGTAATAATCAATGTCGGTTACAATTTGTCTATCGTCTGCGCGATGCTGATGATCGAAAGCATTGCCGAAGGAAAAAGACTTCTCACAAACAACACATTTTACATAGTTTGAATCGTCAATTTTTCTGAAGTTTTTCCAACGTTTATCTTTATGTGTCTCTTCAAATTGATAAGTAGTTTCATGATTACGTTCTATATGAGCCTGAATAGTTTCTGTGCTGACGAAGTATAAAATTTGTTGACACTCCTTACATGTTGCTTGGGAATTTGACAATATGTAATTTTCTTGCACCCAATTCCAAACATCTGGAAGCTCAGGTTCGTTGACTACGTCCATTGCACGAGACATATTGCGTGTGACTGAACGCAATGCTGTCTCGAATAGTGTTTGATAGAAGAGGTCGAAGAAACAAAAATGTAGCATTTCACTTCCATTCGTACATAAACATTGATACATTATTCTAACTTACCGAACTGTTATTAAGAATTCGAATCTTATACAAATATGTAATATTATAACAACCCTACAATTAAGCAAAAAAGATTTTAAAGAACATTTTTGGCATAATAAACGAATTTTTCTTTGAAACAATGCAGAAATAATTATTTACGTTTTTAAAATAAAACTGTTCTGTGTGTCATAATAACCATATAAAAGAAATTTATGCCCACTGTTTCAAATTTATTGGTTCTACAAAAAACGCAATTAATACATTCATTGTAAAACGATAAATATGCGCAAGCTAGCATTTCTTTACCCGACGCACACGTATTTAGATGTGTTATTGTCGCTGTTGTATTGTGAAGACGTTTGATTTGTATTTCATATAAAATCGCAATGATTTTAATCTCGATACCTGCAATTTATTCGTACCAGCTTTACTGACTTATATAGTTAAACACTTGTAATATGAATTTTTTCAATAACGTTCTTCTTATTTAAAGGTGCGTATCATGTGGCAGTATCTACGCATGTCTACAAAGTGATTGTCGATGAAATCGGCAACGGCAAGCTCTAATAACGCAAGTCTGTGTGATACACTAAAATGCACAATTAGTATGCACGTTAATACTTCGCATACTAATTTCTGGATATCGTAGCTTTGTATTCTGGGAAACTACTGTATATGAATATATGTATATCAAAGAAGCGTATAATGAACAAAAAAATAACTGATTTGGCGAATTTTATCCGAGAGCATCGAATGCGCTATTGGTCCTTCATTCTTCGAAAAAATATTGCGTGAAAATCTCAACAAGGTGAATGGTGCATCATAGAATTTTTATCATCTTTCCTAAAATATATCCTTATCGAATTGAGATGTATAACAGCACCTTCGATTCTGAAATATAATTTCTCAAGCTTTGATTAGTGGTTTTATCACTATTTTTAACTCGATATGGAACAATAAAAAAGGACAAATGACATATATCGTATTTTTTTCGTTGAGACACGCAAAATATATTCGAGTTTCAGTGCTAACTATATTTTCTTCGAAGTTACAATAGGCATATTAATATTCTTGCTACGTTGTTCGAAAAGCTGATAGTTTTTGTAATAAGATTTAGACAACTATTACATTTTACTCCAAAATTCGACAAATTATTGTGTATTTGTAACCATCAAATACTCATTTTGTGACGCTTGCATATGTTTTCTTTGTAACAAAACGCATATAAATGAATGTGATGCCGTTCCGCTGATATGTTCAATAAGATTACTTGTTTATTTCTAAAAAAATTATAAGATTATTTATTTCAAAATACCATTTTATTAATACGTTGAAAAACGCATTGTCTGCATATTTCTTTACTATAATGAATACATTAATGGTCACACACAAAATTGGAAAACATACATCTTAAAAATTTACATTGACAGATTTTCCTAATTACTCGTATAATACATTTCAAACGCCTCTGGAGAAATTATAACAAACTGAAGTTAGATAAAACAAAAATGAAAAAAATAAATAAAATAGTTTAAATATGAAAATATCTGACAAATGTCGTCATTACATAAACTGTTCAGTTAAAAAAATTGATTTGCTTTATAAATTTATAAACAAACTTTGTATAAAATAATATTAAATTATATAATATATAATATAATATTAAAGAAGACTTTCCTCAAATTATAAACGTTATATATCGTTTATAAATTCAAGTTTATACACTTATAAGCATGAAACTAATATACTATATAGATTAATATAATATGCAAACATTGAAGATAGTTTTTTATGCATTACACATTAATGAAGTGGACGAAATCAAAACTGCCGTTATTGCTGTTTGTGGCTCGATCTTAATTCAACTATCATCATCTCCATTGCCAAAAGAATAGATACATCTATTAAAAATAAAAAAACTGATTAAAAACTAATTATACGATTTCATGTTCTTATTATATAAGTATTGAGTACATCACTAAAAAAAAAAAATTAATAATAGACAACAATATTAATAATATCAAAAAAACTTACCGCCGTTTCTTCAGTTTATTTCATAACTTGTTGTCGGTCTGTCGTATGGTGTCGGTCTTCTCATTCTTTGACTTCTTATTGATGAATCATCTCTTGATCGTGAGACATTTCCTGGTTCTGAGTCGTCTCTTAAGCGTGCTCTTCTCATCAAATCTCCATAATGATGTTCGAATATGTGAAAAAATAAGTGTATTGCAGGCATAAAAACAAAGTTATGTTTTTCTTTACATATATTGCAACATCCTTTAAAATCATCATTATCATTTTCGTTTTCTGTCACATATTTGCAATGCCATGTGTAGTGACCAATGAAGTTATTATCATCATCAGTTCTTTCATGATGATGCTTTTCCCAATCTTTCCTTCGGAGTATAAAAATTCTGTTACATAAAACACATTCTGCTCTTTGTTTTCCTCTAAGTTTTCTGAAGTTCATCCAAGATGGATTTTGGTGATAACTACAATCTCCTCTGCTTTTCCAATAATAAAAATAATTTTCTTCATTATATAAATGAGTATCAAAGCTTGATATGTCGATGCTACTGAAAATATCAAAACACTTTTTACATTCTGCTCGAAATCTCGAATTTAATTTGTATTTCCGCTTCACCCAATCAATAGAAATTGCGCGATCTTCACTGTCTATTGCATACCATACACGATCGTTATAAACTTTTAACAACAGGTTCAATGTTCCTAAATTTACTCCTGATGTTGCTTCTGGTTTTTCTTAATGTTTTCTTAATGTTAATTTTACTCCCCATTTTTCTGGATGAGCACTTCTAATATGCAAAAATATAATTTCATCAAACGCCAAAACGTTCTGTTTACGTAGAATACATTGCGCTGAAAAATCACAGTCACTAGTTTTTTTTAAATATTTGAATTTCAAAATTTATAAATTCAAGGTACGTCTTTGACATATAAATTTATAATCTTGCTTATAACTTTATAAGGATCAAACTGATATATACAGACGTTAAAGATAATTTTTTTATACATTTCAAATTAATTAAGTGATCAAAATAAAGGCTGACGTTATTGTTGTTTGTAGCTCGATCTCAATTCAGTTATCGTCATCTCCATTGTCAAAAGAATAGATACATCTATAAAAAATAAAATAAAAAACTGATTAAAAACATCTAATTATTCGATTTTCATTGTTCTTATTATATAAGTAATGAGTACGCCAAAGAAAATAAAATATTAATAATACACAACAATATTAATAATATCAATAAAACTTACCGCCGCTTCTTTTCAGTTTATTTCACGGCTTGTTGACGGTCCATCGAATGCTATAAAGCTTTCCATTCTTTGTCTTTGCATTGGTAGATCATCTGTTGGTCGTGAATCGATTCCTGTTGCTAGATAATCTCTTCTCATCAAATTTCGACACTTATTGTCGAATATGTGAAGAAATAAGTGTATTGCAGGCATAAAATGAAAGTCATGTTCTTGTTCACATACAGTGCAACGTCCTTTAAAATCATCATTACCATCTTTGATTTCTTTCACATATTTGCATTGCCATGTGTAATGACGAATGTAATTATTATCATTATCATGTAGATGCTTTCTCCAGTCGTTCGTCATCATTGGAAACTTCTTGCTACATATAACAAACACATTGTACTTCCTGTTTCCATATTAATCTCCTAAAATTTATCCAATATGCATTTCTGCAATTAGTCACAAGTCTTTGACTTTCCATATTGAAAAGATAAAGTTCTTTAATATATATATGTTGATCAAAGCTTGATGTGTCGATGCTATTAAAAATGTCAAAACACTTTTTACATTCTGCTTGAAATCTCGGTTTTAATTGATATTTTCTTTTCACCCAATTTATAGCAGTTGTGCGATCTTTCCAATCGTTTATGCCCCAATGGCCACGTTCACATATTTTTAAGAACAACTCCAATCTACTTAAATTTACGGCACCTTTTAAAACTGCTAATTCTTTAATAAATGGTAATCTTTCCCCCCATTTATCTGAATGAGCTGTTTTAAAATGCAAGAATATAGTTTCTTCAAACGCTATAAATTCTTTGTATTCACAAAGAATACAGTTTGCTGAATGAACATAAGCAGAAACAGTCAGTCTAAAATATTTGAACACCCAGTAATAATCAATGTCGGTTACAATTTGTTTATCGTCTGCGCGATGCTGATGATCGAAAGCATTGCCGAAGGAAAAAGACTTCTCACAAACAACACATTTTACATAGTTTGAATCGTCAATTTTCTGAAATTTTTCCAACGTTTATCTTTATGTGTCTCTTCAAATTGATAAGTAGTTTCATGATTACGTTCTATATGAGCCTGAATAGTTTCTGTGCTGACGAAGTATAAAATTTGTTGACACTCCTTACATGTTGCTTGGGAATTTGACAATGTGTAATTTTCTTGCACCCAATTCCAAACATCTGGAAGCTCAGGTTCGTTGACTACGTCCATTGCACGAGACATATTGCGTGTGACTGAACGCAATGCTGTCTCGAATAGTGTTTGATAGAAGAGGTCGAAGAAACAAAAATGTAGCATTTCACTTCCATTCGTACATAAACATTGATACATTATTCTAACTTACCGAACTGTTATTAAGAATTCGAATCTTATACAAATATGTAATATTATAACAACCCTACAATTAAGCAAAAAAGATTTTACACAACATTTTTTGCGTAAATAAACAAGTTTTTCTTTGAAATAATGCAGAAATCATTATTTATGTTTTCCAAATAAAACTGTTCTGTGTTCATAATAACCATATTAGAGGAATTTACGCTCACCGTTTCGAATTTATTGGTTCTACAAAAAACGCAATTAATACATCCATTTTGAACGATAATTATGCGCGCCCTAGCATTTCATTACCTGACGCAGACGTATTTAGATGTGGTACTGTCGCCGTCGTATTGTGAAGACGTTCGGTTTGAATTTCATATGAAATCACGATGATTTTAATCTCGATACCTGCAATTTTGTGCTTAATTGATTTATATAGTTAAACATTCGTAATATGAATTTTTGTAATAACGTTCCTCCTATTTGAAGGTGCGTATTATGTGGCAGTATCTACACATTTCTACAAAGTGATTGTCGATGAAATCGGCGACGGCAAGCTCTAATAACAAAGTCTGTGTAATACACTAAAATGCACAATTGACGTTAATACCCCGCTTACTAATTTCCGGGTATTGTAGCTTTGTATTCTGGGAATCATATACTACTGTATATTAATGTACATATATCAAAGAAGCGTATGATGAACAAATGAAGAAAATAACTATTTTGTCAGATTCCATCCGAAAGCATCGAATGCACTATTGGCCCTTCATTCTTCGACAAAATATCGCGTTAAAAACTCAACAAGAAAAATGGTGCATTATAGTGTTTTTTATGATCTTTCCTTAAATATGTCCTTATCCAATTGAGATGTATTGCAGCATCTTCGATTCTCGATGCCCAAATATAATTTCTCAAGCTTTGATTAATGGTTTCATCACCATTATTAACTCGATATTGAACAACTAAAAAACACATATAACATGTATCGTATTTCTTTCGTTGAGACTCGCGAAATATATTCGAATTTCAGCGTTAACTATATTTACTTCGAAGTTACAATAGTCCTAATAATATTCTTGCTACGTTGTTTAAAGCGCTGATAGTTTCTGTCGTAAGATATAGTCAGCTATTACACTTTGTTACAAAATTTGACATTATGGTATATTTGCATCCATCAAATCCTCATTTTGCGACGCTTGCACATGTTTTTCTTGTAACAGAACGCATATCAATGAATGCAATGTCGTTCTGCCGATATGTTCAATAAAATTTCTTGTTTATTATCCGTTAAAAAATATTAACGTCTTTTGAAAAGAAGTTGTGTATATATTATATTTTATTTTAATAAAAAACAGCTTTTTAAATAAGCTTTGAAGCCAAATAAATGCAAGATACAAATTTAGTTGAAAATATGAATCTACTACTGTTCGTGTCGAATTCGCGCGTATGCTAGCGGCGATGCAGACACAGATTACCGGACCGTTTTCACGAAAACGCGCAGCAAACGGAGTCGCGGGTGGAATCCCTTTTTTGAATTGAAGCTGAAAGTCTTTATGCGAATTATTATCTCGACAAATCGTCCAACTCGTGCGACCGTTTCTCATACGTAGCAGCAAGGCCAGAAAATATTATTCAGCCGATCAAAGCACAGTCGAAAACAAAGACTTATAAACACGAGCGAGTTGAAGATAAAATGTCTGGTGTTCGAACTTACGGAGAAATAAAGCAACTGTCTATTTTTTAGTAAACCAGGCAATAACATTTAATTAACCACAAATTTTAACAATTAAATGAACAAATTCCAACGAAAGTAATTGACGTTAATTCGCACTCGGATTCGTGAAATCGCGGAGAGCGGTTCGACAATTTAGTCTCAAGATTTTCAGATGCGTTTTTAGAAGGAATTAATAATCTGAACGTTTCGACTGTTTAAGAACAAGTGAAGCTTTCAAAACGATCTCTCGCGATCGACGGCGATCGATCTCATCGAGCGACAAAATTCGGCGTCGCGACTTGCGCATTAGAGTTTGCGGCGGTTGTCGAGACGCCGAATTTCGAGTGATCGCTTAGCTTGTGTAGCGGAGCTTTATGTCGTAGCGGTTTTCTTCATTTAAACTATTTGCTTATTTACGAAGATCTTGCATTTATATTGATCTTAAACAACTACTAATTAGCAAAAGGATGAGAAAATATTGAAGAAATTAATTAAATATTATACTAATGTTTTGTCTTGGATATTTTTTTTAGATAAAATAATTAAATTATTTGTTAAAAAATGCCGTTTTATTAATGTGTTGAAAAACGCATTGTTTGCATATTTCTACTACAATGAATACTATATTTACTACAATGAATACATTATTAATCACACATAAATTTGGAAAACATAAAATTGAAAATTTACATTGACAGATTTTGCTGATTACTCGTATAATACGCTTAAAACACCTCTGGAGAAATTATAAGTAACTGAAGTTAGATAAAGTAAAAGTAAAAAAGTGAAATAATATAAACATGAAAATATCTTACAAATGTCCTTACATGAACATAACTGTTCAAAAAATTGATTTGCTTTATAAATTTATAAACAAACTTTATAAATGTAATATTAAAAAGTATTTTCTTCATTTAATTTATAAGAATTATATATTTATAAATTCAAGGTACGTCTTTGAGATATAAATTTATAAACTTGCTTATAACTTTATAAGAATCAAACTAATATATACAGACCTTGAAGATAATTTTCTTATACATTTGAAATTAATTAAGCGATCAAAGTCAAGACTGCCGTTATTGCTGTTTGTGGCTTGATCTGAATTCGGCTACCATCTCCATTGTCAAACATGAGTCAAGAATAGGTACATCTATTAAAAATTAAAAAAGCTGATTAAAAACTAATTATTCGATTTTTATTGTTCTTATTATATAAGTATTGAGTACGCCACTCAAAGAAAATAAAAAATTAATAATTGACAACGATATCGTTGTCAACAATAATATCAATAAAACTTACCGTCGCTTTTTTTGTTTGTTTCACTGCTTTTTGACGATCGTGGGACATTTCCTGGTCCTGGATCATCTCTTCTATTCAAATCTCCGTAATGTTCGAATATGTGAAGGAATAAGTGTATTACAGGCATGAAATCGAAGTTAACTTCACTTTTTGTTGCATCTTGACATAAGTAACAATATCCTTGAAAACCGTCATTATCATCTTCGTTTTGTTTCACATATTTGCATTGCCATGTGTAGTGATGAATGTCGATATTATCAGATTCTGGATGATAATGAGAAAATAGGCTTCCTTTTTCAGTTAAAAACGTTTGTTACATATAACACAATGTGCTCTTTTAACCCATTTAACTTTCCTAAAATTCATCCAAGACAAATCTTGTTGATAACCATTTAATCTATGTTTTTCCATATTATAAAAAACATGACCATGTTGGTAGTATATATGAGCATTGAAGCTTGACATATCGATGCTACTGAAAATTTGGAAACACTTTTTACATTCTGCCCGAAATCTTGGTTTTAATTCAAACTTTCTTTTCACCCAATTTATAGCAATTGCGCGATCTTCCTCGTCTATTGATTTCCATTCGCAATCGTCATACACTTTTAACAACAGCTTTACTGTTCCTAAATTTGCACTTAATGTTGCTCCTGGTTCTTTTCTTAATGTTAGTCCTTCGCCCTATTTTTCTGGATGAGCACTTCTATAATACAAGAATACGATATCTTCAAACATTATACTCGTAGTTCCTTCGTTTTGTCTATGTTTACAAAGAATACAATACACTGAAAAAACACTGCCACTAGTCTTTTTAAAATATTTGAACACCCAGTCATAACCAATGTCGGTTACAATTTGTCTATTTTCTACGCGATGGTAAATGAAGATATCGTCGACGGAAACAGACACCTCACATATAACATATTCTACATCGTTTAAATCGCCAGTTTTTCTGAAGTTTTTCCAAGGCTCATTTTTATGTGGCTCTTCAAATTGATAAGTAGTTTTATGTTCGCGTTTTATATGATCTTGAAGGCTTTCTGTGCTGACGAAGTATAAAGTTTTTTGACACTCATTACATGTTGCTTGAAAATTCGACAGTGTGTAATTTGCTTGCACTCAATTCGAAACAGTTGGAAGCTCAGGTTGGTTGACCACGTCCATTGCGCGAGACATATTGCGTGTGACTGAACGCGATACTGCCTTATCGAATAGTGATTGATAGAAGAGGTCGAAGGAACAAAGGTATAGCATTTGTATATAGTATCAATTGATACATTATTCTGACGAACCTGACTGTTATTAAGAATTTGAGTCTTTTGCAAAACATATGTAATATTATAACAATTCTACGATTGAGCAAGAAAGATAACATAATGTCTATTAATCTTTCATAGTAGTTATTAATGTAATGTCGAATATTTATATATAATATTATATTAATTTTATTATAGAATATATTTTTTAAAGTGTAACAGCGCCAAGCTTTTTGGATTAAACATATATTTTTCTTTTGATTACATTTTTTCCTTTAAAATAGTTCGTTCATAAACTTAACTTTTTTTCCTTGTTTTATGAAAAAACTGTCTTTTTTTGACAAACAATTGATTATTCGTCAATTTGTATTTAAATATATTTGGGGCTATAGATCAAGATGCTTCTAATGAAAATACAAGAACATTCTCCAAAATCGTACAAAGAAATTAAACTTTTGCAATCACTGTTTGCGCAAAACTTCAGTTATACTTATACAGATTTCGTCTGTATTCAGCGCAGTTACATAAAAATAGTTTTAAAAATACATAAAAGAAATTTTTTCGCCTTTTTAGTATTCTCTTAGCTCATAGCACTCTTTCGTAATGCTATATAAAAAGCTTCATTTTCTGTTAGCAATATCTGTATATACATATATTTCTATACAAGAACCAAAAAGAGAAATAAATATAAAGTTAAAAATAAAAAATTTAATTTTCTCCAATAATCGCGAAGTAAAGATTCAGCAGAAGTAACCGTTACAAAGCGATGCAGCAGCTTATACTAAATTAAAGCTGCTGCATGTGAAATTATTTGCCATTTTTAATTTTTTTTAACAACTGTACTGAATAAGTTACAAAAAATAATGTACCGCTACTTTTGCGACAGATAATTTGCGGCCGCTATGCAGTGCTGTTGCAGCGCTGATTTCCGCTAAACGCAATATTAATATTAAAAAGATATCGAAAATTCATATATGTATAACGAGTTAATGAAAGCCATTATCACGAAATTACCGTTTTCAAATGCAATCACGTAAAAAGAAAAGAACCTAAACTGTTTCAATTTTATCCTATGTCTACAATTACAAACGCTTACATCCTCTTACGTCTCGTTCTTCGCTATTAGTCTATCTTTGATTACGCAATTATGAAGGATAATTTTGCAATTTAAAAAAAATTTCTCGTAATTTTACGATCGATCGTAATTTGCTGCCCAGCGAAAATGGCATTACTTTTGCAGCATAAGCGTCTTGCAGTTCGCGCATATCAGACAGATACACGTTCACGGTAGCCGCATTAAACAGAATTTTCAATGAAAAAACTATACTTCGGATTCTCTGTCGATTGACGTTTACTTTCTTAACAGCCTAGATAGAAGATGAAAGACAAGATGAATAATATTGATGAGTTTTTTCAAAGTTCGCAATATAGTTTTATACGAATGGTATTGAGTGCCTGCGGCCTGTGGCCCTTTCATACCGTACTCAGACGCTGCGTGATATACTTTACGATGTTATTGGTACTCGGATTCGGATTGATGTTCCAGGTATATATTAGACGAAAAATGTATTTTTCTTTAAAATAAAACTAAGAATACAATACTATTTTAGCTTTTATATTTTGTTGAAAACTTTGGTGATCGAATATTACTCTGAAAAATTATATTGTTGTGTCTACACTATGCGTGCACAAAAATTCATGTTTATTTTTATATACGCTTAACAATGTGATTTATGATTAAACGGTTTAATTGGAGTTATATATTATTACGTAATGTAATTGCATGTTCGTAATATAATGTGTGGAAAACGCAGATGATGGGTGCTATGGAAATTCGGCATGATTTTTTTGTATTACTTGACTGCGCACCGTCAATACTTATTCATATACACATAACGTGTATATTCATTTTTATGATATACAAATTACCCGAGGTGCGTTAAATAAGAGTAACGTTGCTCACATATTAATATATAGCAATTAAAATATTTACGTAATCGTATATTCTCCTCGAGTTGTAGATAAGATCACTTCTGATTAAGATACAAAAGTACACTCTCTCGCCAAAATCGAGCGAAGAGTACAAAATACACAACTCACATGCAACATATGGACGAAAGTTAACCATGGCTTATATGGGTAAGTTTGACAGTTCAGAGTGTAATCTTATAAGCATCTTTCAAAAACATTTAATTTCTACAATAATTTTGAAAATTCTGAAAAAGACATTTGACACTTTATATTGGGTTGGCAAATAAGTTCGTTCGGTTTTTGATTGGTACTGCTTGCCATGCTGGTTTCACTCTTTTCCTTTCGGTGCTACATTGTAATTGCTCATTTCGGCATTTGAAGGTTATCTTTTTCCATAAAGTTTGGTTGTGCTAACATCAGTATTGTGTGCGCTTGGTACTTGTAAAATGGAAGTGGACAAAGTGCATTATCGTCATATTTTGCGTTACTATTTCACTGAGAAAAATATTCAGCGATTCTAATCGGAAAAAACCGTTTGAACATCTTATCCGATTGATTTTGATTGGATTTGGGGCTATCCGATGAAATGATGGATGCCTTTATCCGATGAAATAAAATTTCCAATGAAATATGAACGGATAATGAGCTGCGATTTACTTATCCGTTTAAATTGATATATATGATCGGACATTGCACTTGATCGGATAAAAATAAGGTATTTTTCCGATCAAGCTGAATGTCCGATCTAATGTACTATATCCGATTAAAATATTATCCGATAAAGTGTAATATCCGATGAAATACAATTTATCCGTTCAGAAGTCCGATGAAATACATGTGTACACATTTCGAAGTCGCACTGGTAACTCGATTGTGATTAGTCGTGCTAACAGTCGTACCGATGGGCCCAGCGTGCATGAGCCTGTACTCTATTGTCTCGTGTTCGTCATCGAACATTAATTCGGATGATATCAAGGCCTTCGTCGATAATAATCCATCCCAATCGGTGCGAGAGATTGCTACAGCACTCAATAGATTCCACACAAGTGTTGAAAATTATTTGCGCAATAAATTATATTCCGTTATAAAAAACCGAACGAACTTATTTGCCAATCCAATATATGATTGTAACTCTTTGACTTTATAATATTAGAGATAAACAAAAGTTCCTGTTGCTTTTAAGGCAAAAAATTTAAGGAACTTGCATACTCCTAATATAATTGTACTTTTTGTGTGATAGTAATTCTAGTTATGTTTGTAAATTGTACAAATCGCAACACTGTTTTATACAAATTAGGTATCCAAGCTGGTATTGACCTCCTTTTCGTATTTATGACAGCATTGGAAAGATTTGTCGCCCCAAAGTCCGAATACAATGCGTCGTTTGATGAAGTCCCCGAAGTCCAATCGGGACCCGAAGTCCAATCGGGAATACTTTATCGCGTTAATTACATGGTGGACTTTGACACACATTACGTTCCAATTTTTTTACACACATCCGTAGTGCATGTCAGTTACATATTAATGGCACTTACAATTGACGTTCTGTATGTAACGCTAGTCGAATACTGCTGCGGTTTATTTACGGCTATCAGGTGAGTTATATGGATTCTGCTGATTCCGCGAAACACAAAAATAAAATACCTCATAAACACCTAATAAAAATAACCGCATGTTTTTCTTCTTAAACGTAATACTTGTTTTAAATCATTATTTTTTTATGAAAATTTGCTACGGATAACAATGAGCCTCAGATTTCGGCTAGAAAATGCGTTTGAGTTCGAAAGTGACAGCAATGATTCGATAACGACGTCCACGAATAAATCTTATTCGAACGTAGCATATAGTATTCGAAGACACACGGAAGCAATACAGTGAGCATACGTGTATTTACATAAATACTCATTAGAACAATAATTTAGAACAATAATAATAAATTAATATTTTCTGCATATTGCGCCTAGATTTGTCGCCATTATAGAATCGACGTATAGCGTGGTTCTCTTTCTACATGTCGGATGTTGCATATTATTATTAAGTATCGTGGGATATCAGGTACTATATTACGCATCTAATGAAATTTCTCACACAGCTACACTGAGAAAAAAAGTTTCTTTTACTTAAATAAATATATTTACTTTTAATCTGATTTTTTTATCCGAATAATTACTTGTTTTGTTTAAAGAAACGTTTTGTTACATGAAATAAACAATTCTTTGTGTTAAATTAAAAAATTATTATTTTTAGAATCAAATATAAAATATTTTAAAATAAAAAAATGTTTATGATAAAGACAAGAAATTATTTATTAAACTAGAAAAAATGTAGATTTTTAAAATAAGCGACCAGAAATATATTTAAAAATATATTTATATTTCAAGTAATTCGATATATTTAAAAAAAATTAGTTGATATATTTACTAAACAAATTTTAAAATAAAATATTTTTTAAAATTAAGATTACTATTTTTTTGTTGAAATTAGCTAATTAGCTAGATTTAAACAAATGCTACGCAATGTTACGTTCGTTTTTCGTTTAGACACATTGGCGTGAATAGACGCTTGATGCACCATTCTCACGTTTTGTGTAAACTCGTTCGACATAAATTATTAAAACGTTAATAAAACTGACATTTTTTGAGTGAGATTTGTCGACACTCGATTAGTTCAATGTGCAATTTGTATTAACATTTTGTGTCATATGTGTGATAGAAATACAAGGCTTTGAAAAAGGCCTTTCTCTCATGTGATTTAATTAAATAAAATTTATTTAAAATTATTCTATATTTTTCAGTATATATAACATTTTTTGCAAATTTTATACTATGCACTTTTTTTAACAATTATTAAAAAATAAAGAATAATTTAAAAAGTTGACCATTTTTACTTAATTAGCTATGTATTATTGCTAGTGTATCTTATAGGTAGTGTTGCAAGGCACGGTTGAGCGAAAGAACGGAAGAAAGAAACTAAATAGTTAATGTTAAATTACACAAATATACATATTTGACACTTATCAGAAATAACGAGTCACAGTCTAATTTAACCAATGAAACCGTTCGCCATCCCGGACGGTTATCTCGAGTGAGATTAATCGAAAAGAAAGATCAAAGTCCGAATTAGTTTTATACAGTTTTACACAATATTACACAGTCTTGTGCTCACGCTCTTAGTTCGGCTCGCTTGCACAGCTCAATACGGTCTCCTCCGATCTATCTGGTATCACCGTGTAGCTGCCTAGGCCTTTAGTCTTCAGCTGAGCGCTTGTATTACATATATTCTGATACACATATGTATATACCCAGCAAACACCAAGTTACAGTTATATAATTGTTAGT